TCAGCGGCAAAGCGCCTGCCTGGCAAGTGCAAGGTCGTGAGTTCGGTTCCCGGTACCGGAGAAAAACCAAAAAAAAACAAAAACAAAAAAACAAAAACCAAAAAAAAAAAAAAAAACCACATGTTTACCTTAAAGCAAGTGGAATGACAGCAAATTTGTAATTCATCTAAAATCATTTTAGTTTCCACACCCAAGGGTTTTCGACAATAAGTGCACATATCTCTTTCAATGACAGACCTATAGAGACATAAACAATTAAAATAAATTTTCCATCATGTAAAATACATCTATTTCTAAGAAGGCATGTGGAAATAATATGTTACATCTGGTGGTACTTTAGCAAATTTCACTAAGATCAAAGCTCAGAGTTTACTTATTCTAGTCATAGAACTGATTATCTAGCTACCCCAAAATAATGTCAAGGAATGGACATAATGGAAAGTCTCTGATTATTAATTCATCAACAATCAAAGAAGCATCTGGGCAGGACAAAAACGTTCATTTTCCTAGTTGAACTAGGCCTTAAGTGCCCCTGGAAGACAGATGAGAGTTTTAATTATTAACTTACATATATCATTTTACAGAGTGCATGAGAAAATTATGCTGCTGATGAATGTAAGTGTTTAACTCTCAAAACATTCAATAGGTCAGAAATAGAAATCCATTCAAGAATGAGTTTATAAGCTCACAAGTGATAGGTCTCAGGACTCCAGGGTTGCAGCTAACTATAACGTCCCTTTTGGTATCATGGTTAAGGGTTAAGATGTGAACAGGGATTCTTATCATGATGAAATTTACACTCCACAAGAAGATATAACTCTGCTGCAAATTTGATGAGGAAAAAAAGTTTTCTTACTGATATTGGAAAATTAATGTTCAAAAATAACTGAACTACACATGTGAGGAGCAGAAATCAAGAAGCCTGCAATCACAACAGAGCTATAAGAAAGGATGCTATTCCTTTCCTGTCTTAAAAAGCACCTCGTAGAGTTTACTGGTGCTGAGGCAGTAGAATGCCAGCCTGAAATTTCCAGAGTAGGATACATAATGGGGTGGAGAAACAAAAAACAACCAATACTTATCCTGTGTTTAATGTATGTAGTGAATTTTCTCATGCACTTTACTTATAGAAATGCATTTGTTCTTTGCAATATCCCTGAAAAGTCAGTGTTCTTATCTTTGCATCATTTTGTAGGAAAGGAAACTAGTGCACAGAAAGGTAAGCCAATTGCTTCTGTCATGCTCTGAGCAGATGTGAATGGAGTGATTGTGGCTCTAGGGTCCCTGGCCTGCTTAAGGTCTATTTGGCTCCCTGCAAGAAATGAGCTGGTTAGGCCCTGGAGCCGAGGAGTAGAAGCAGAGAGGAGGAAAAATGGAAGGAAGAGAAAGGGAGAGATGAAAAAGATTAGAGTAGATAAACTTCATCTATTTTATCCTGTTAACTTTTTGCTAATCCTATGTGTACAAGTGAATATTTTTCTTTTTCATTCCCTTCCATAACTACTTGCTTATAGAGAATCTGGCAAATATTTCCCCAAGAATTCTCCATATGTATGTATGTATGTATGTATGTATGCACACTACACGACTTCCTGCCCAAAATTATGAGCACTTTAAGGGTAGAAAATAGGTGTTATCTATCCCATATGCACTTTTCCTGATAAAGTCTTTCCTGACATTGGCTGGAGTGGGTTGTGCTATGATCTATGTAGTCCACAGGCACTGAGCAAGGAGCTGGGAATACAGAGTGGTGATACAGCTGCTGGTGAGTAGCTCTTTCCACTGGGGAAGCAAAATGCGTGATCAGTGGTGACAGCACGACACGGACACATGGAAAGAGTTAGGAGGTCCCATGGAGACAGCAAACAGCTCCAGCGGTTGTCAGGAAAGGCTTGTCAGAAGAAGTGCGTACGGGTTAAATCTTGAAGATGAAGGAACACTTGAAGTGGCTGGGTAAGGTGGGCCTAGGAGCCTGTGGGGGGAACTCCAAGCAGAATGAAGAGGAAGGGCAAAATGAGGCCATTTGCAGCGACTGAGTATCAGTCCCTGTTTAGCAGCAGCAGGTTCTGAAGCCCTATAGATAATGTCGAAAGGCCTTTTGCCTTTATCTCATAAAGCGGCGAGCCACTTCTAATGGGCTTAGAGTACTTAGATGAGAACGCTGGGCACCTAGCCAATTTCACACACTAATCAACAGCAACAGTCTTATGGAAAACTGACTTTTGCACTAACAACTAAGTAAGATTTCACAAATGGCCTTCTGAGCAGGAATGAAATTCCTTATATTGACAGTAATATAAGAGAGTAGTTTCCTTCCTTAAATTAGTGATAAAAATATAAGCCCAGGGAAAACTCTGATGTTGATATTGGCCTTATTAAGATCATATGATTAGTTAAAGATCTTTCCAAAGAATTATGGAAAGCTTAGCTCTGAAGGTTTTTGGTTACTTTATGTCCTTAGTTTTAATATTTATATAAATTACTTTCATCCTCAGAAAGGTGTGGCCTAAAAGACAAGATCCTCAGAAGAGATCTGATAAAGATCTTGTAAAAGCATCAGAAAGAGGCTACAATCTTTATTTTTAATTGACACTATAGAACATTTTCTTTATCCATTCATCATCAGTAGACATCTAGATTGATTCTATACCTTGGCTATTATGAACAAAGCTAGCTACAATGAACATGAAGATGCAGAGATTTCCTTGGCATACGGCTTTCCTTTCCTTTGGATATAAACCCAATAGTGGGGTTGCTGTATCATATGGTAGTTTTATTTTTAGTTTAAGAGGAACCTTTGTGCTATTTCCAATGATAGTTTTAATAGTTTACATTCATACCACCAGACAAACAGATATATTTTGATGCCTGATCCATTTACACTTCCCTTAGCAAGTAGGCCATGGGGTTGTGTTTTCAGAAAAAAAATTTATAAAATACCTGTAAGATGCCAAACACTGCTACACATAAAAAGTAAAGTATGTCTTTATGTTACAGTGAGTCATATTTGAGCATGTGAAAATCACCATCAGTGAACTATCAGACATTTGAATAGAGCTTTTGTACAGTGGTGGGTTAAAACACTACACATTTTCATTTATTCCACTAGAAACCTGAGGGCCATACTCTCCTGAGTGTTGCCTGGGAGCCCAGTGAGCATCAAAAACTACAGGGGATCACTAGCCCCAAAAGCCTGAAGTGGGGCCAGTTCACTAGTATCAACTCAATACTCATAACCCTACTCCCAGGAACTGAATGGGTTCTAGAGTGGGTCTCAGTGGCACATCCATTCAGCTGGCTTCAGAAAACTACAAGTACAGAGAACTGAGGGGCATTGTAGTGAAGTAATGAAGCTTAGCCACTAATATATGGTGCCCTGTGGACTTATGAGAATCACCAATGACAGAGGGCTGACCTGCATGGAAAGGACTTTTGGAAGAATATGCATCAAAATCAAGAGCAGCAATAACCAAGAAGTCAAGAAGTATATCCCCAAGTGCAGAGTTGTACTCCATTCTTATACATACATACACTCCATTCTATATACATACTCCTAAGTATGTATATAGACACAGATGTATGCATATTTTTGTGCTAGAAGATAGAGACATACTCACCTATCTGAAGTTGAGTAAACAGTTTGTATATACTTTCCAGAGCTATTCTGATACCCATCCTTTGGTAACTCACTAGAAGCAAACATATATGGACATGTGAGACTCAGGCTAATTTTTGTAATATTGGTGTACATACCCCATAGAGGTAAGAAAAACATTCGCACTTCCTCATGCAGCTTTATTCTATTGTTCCTTGTAGTGTTTCCAGTCAAGGTGCTGTGCTGACACCTCTTACATTTTGATCTGAAGAAGTACTGATGCACAAGGCACCTTAAAGTTCATGTATCACCAAAGTAAACAGAGAGTAGGGAAAGGAGTCCAGGAATAAGTGTGAACAGATAGAGAGGTCATGTTTCTCACAAAATTTATACTTGCTCTTCACTTATTTACTAAACTAAGGTGATATGGAGTTTGATATAGCTAAAAGAAACATGCAAAGGCAGACACAGCAAGTATATACCATTCCCAGGGAGAAACAGAAACTCTTGAACTTCAGGAGAAAGCGCTAGAAATTTTTATTTTTACTTGAAAATTTCCAAAGAAGAGTATTTAGAATGAAAACAAAGTAGGTATAGTAATTTTAAGTCCTGTATTTTCCATTTTATAGATTGGTTCCAGTTTGTAAACATCACTCTTTTCAAGAGACAAATGAAATCTGCAATTCACTAACCAGTTGGCTTCTTATAATTGCTTCCAAAGTACTTATGCCACCTGGCAATATATTAGAATTGGAAGCAATATGCCCCTATCATTCTGGGCAATGAGTGATAATTCTATATCTCTTACTTGGGATTTTTTAAATGGGAAATCTATCTCTTCCTTCAAATCACCCACACAGGTAGACTGCTATCAGCACTAAAACAAACTACTACGGAACATAGTAGTCCACAATGCTAAAAGAGTTTGTACCTATTTATATATGGTGTAGATATCATTATTCCTATTCCACTGGTGATGAATCTGAGATTTAGTAACTTTCCAAAGCTACATGGTTAGTAAGTGACAAACAAGAACTCAACCCTTGTTTGATAGAATCTGGTCCTAGGGACTTTATATTACATCTCATGTTCTGTCAGTATAGATTTTAGGGAAGCTGAAGGTTCTTGAGGTACACCACCATCCATATTAGATTAAAGTACAGAAGTAACTAATCCTGCCAGAATTTTCGGCTCTACATGCTAATAGCCTGGCACACAGTGACATTGCTCTTTATAGTTCTCAAACCTGAATGTACATCAGAAACAGAATGAGTTTGTTAAAACACAGATAACTCGACCCTCCTTGCAGAGTTTATGATTCAGCAGGTCTAGAGTGAAGCCACCAAGCTTCCATTTCTAACAGGTTCCCAAGTGATGCTGACCCTTCCAGCCCACACTTTGAGAATTACTGTTCTATATGTATTTATGACACACATACAGAGATACAGGTACAGATAAAGGTACAGGTACATGTATAGGTACAGATACAGATAAAGATACAGGTATACATGCTGTAGTTTTAAAAATAAGCTATAGTCAGCATAGTTAAATGTTTTGGGTATGTTTCTGCACTATTCATCTATTCAATAAACCCAAAACTCTAATAAAAAATGACATTTAAGACAACATACCTAATTCTAGAAAAAAAAATCACTATTTCTTAAAAAACTCAATATTGAAGTTGTTTACATTAGTTCCCACAGGATACTTCTTTAGAAAGCAAAATGTACTGGTGTGATATCACATAAGGTTACATTATACAAGAGATTATTATGTGAATATAGAATAAAGGCCTATGTTATTTTTATTCTATTTGCCAGTGTTTGGTGTCTTGCCTTCACTGTAACACTATTTTGATACTATTTATCTACTTACCAATTTCCTCCAGGTATAGTAACTACTGGCTATTTTAAATTTTACTCTGAAATGTTCCATCTTTTAGATTAATGGAAAGACAGAAGAAATCCCCATCTTAAGTATACCATAGACTGACAACTAAATTAAGGGAAAAATTAATTTGGAAGTTGCATTTTAAGAGGTAAATTTTACATGGTTTTGCAGAAGTTTTTCCAATATTATTCACCTGCTGACATGTATTGAATTTTCTGGAACCCCTCAGAATCCCCTACACCCTGAAGAATCCCCTAGATACTCTAGATACTCTAGTCTTTGAAATGGGCTAATACATGTCAGGTATATCAGCATTTATGTGCCTTGCCTTTATATTACTCCACAATTAAGCCAACTTCCTTGAAAACCAAATGGGTTCTGGATCCTTGACCTTGGATGACATTTCCTTCAATTTTCCCATCAGCAGATTTCATGGGACATCAATTCCCTGCAATTTGGGCCAGAGTACATCCACTTAAAGTTATTCCCTTATTTCAGACTGCAATAATCTACAAGGATAGATTAAACCACAATAGTAGAGGAGTAATTTCATTAAAGTGGGACTCCAAGTCAGTATAGCAGTACTTGTGTAACTTTATAAAGCTCATTATAATCATGTAGTCATTTGTCTTGTGAGAACTTTCTAACAGTAATCCCATATATTATATTGAAATAGTCCATCCAATGACTATTATTATTTATCAATTACTTCATATTGGCAGCCTTATAAAGTAATATATGCCTAGAGCTCAATATACACTTCAGTGGTTTTCTTTTTGAAAAGAAACATACCCTAAAATGGTGGCACCTCTTATTAAACATAGATCATTTCAAAATTATAAAATGATATAAAATATTTGCAATACATTTCCAATACCTGTTCTCTATATATGTCCTTGTGTACATAACAGTGTCCTTTGGTCTTACGTATCTGGTTCCAGTACTGGAGCTGCAATACAAACCACATTAAAAGTTTATTCATAAGGATAATAAAACAGCAAGGACATTATGCAATTCAATGCAAAAAATAATAGTTACATGTTCTTTCTAAACTATAATTGTTGAAATATCAATGTTAAAGTGCCACTAACTTTTTGCAAAATTTCACATCTTCCATTTTTGTTCTTAACAGCCACTGTTTTGACCTACTTTCACATATTATTATGAGAATTGGCCACTCATAAAATCTGTTTAGAGCATGAAAATTATTTTGAATATCTGTGTCTGTTCTGTCATTTCAATCATATCTCCAAGCCATAACTTTCCTCATAAATTTCAAATAAAAAAGTGAGCTACATGAAAACATTTAAGGAAATGTTTAGCTCTAGGTAGAGAATGTCAACACCAGTGTCATAATTGCACTTAATGAAATTGTAGATTTTGTTTAAAAAATTGTATTCTATATTTCCTTATCTAGCTGTCTCCATAATAATCAAGTTGCTAATTTAACACTTTGATGTAAAGCTGTTTACAAATTACACATAGGCTCAGATGAAATTAGAAATTTCTGCATTTCAAAGAAAGGGCCAGCTTGGATGTGGAATTCAAAAATGGACAACAAACAAACAAAAAAGGGCACAAATAGTCTTGCCATTTGTTTTGCAGTTGACTACAGTGCCTGAAATTGTGCTTGGCTTCATAAGAATAGGCAGAGGTTCTTGTGCATTTATTGTATGGAGCCCTGGGGAATCCACTGACTAGGCTGTGTAGTCTGAGAGAGCAAATGCATATATTTGCCACTTAAAATTAGAGCCACATAGAAGGTTTTTTACCTTACTAAAATTATAAACCAGACAAGGTGGTACAGGCTTATAACCTCAGCACTTGGGAGGCTGAGACAGGAGGATCACCGTGAGCTCAAGGCCAGCCTGAACTACATAGTGAGACCCTGTCTCAAAAAAATATTCTATTCAAATAACTATTTTACATACATTTAAGCTCTTTCTGTCTGTCCCATTTCCATACTCTGTTACCCAGAGCATTCATGAACTATTTGATTTTCTCTGCAGAAACCAGTGTCTCACCTATAAGGATAATCTACAGACCTGAGCCACATCATCTAACACTAGGATAAAATACTTTGCATCAATGACAGGCGCCGTTGATGGCAAATTGCTTCCTGTAACGTTTTCACACCAGCAGGGCCATTTTAGAAAGCTTCCCATGTATAACACATCTGAGAATTTATCATTTTAATGAAAATGATCCAGGGGCTGCTTTGAGACATTCCACTTTCCATTTTGTTTTTAATGAAAGGCAGTGCTTTGAAGATTATAGCAGTTCTGACCTAGATTTCTGTTACTGTAAAATGTCACTGTATCTAACAGAGTACTGGCACATTCCTCTTTTCCTATGGAAAAGAAGAAATTCTTCATGCAAGAATAGTCAAACTTTTAGCTTCTTTTCCTCATCCATGATAGTAAACCTTGACAGAGGAGAGACGTGAATACCTACAAGAGAGTTTAGATTTCAATCATTCTCAAACAGGCTGTTCTTTGCATTTCTGGACAGCTCTTAAAGAAGAGGAAAACATCTGCGCACATATCATCTCTGACACACAGAAAGATTATCTTCTGATATTCATGCAGACATTTCACAAACACATAGTTGAAGTCGAATGATTCTAAAGTAGTGGAAAGGTAGAATTAATTAATATTAAAAGGATTTCTAACGTGAACATTAGAATATGTCATTCCAGGAATAATAAACCTATTTGGAAATTGTTCTAAAATACTATTCAAGCAATATAATGTACAAATTAGAACCCAACCTTAATAATATAGGTAAGGTCAAAGGACAAATGTCACTGCTAGGACTGATAAGTGTTTGCATTTTTCTCAGCAATGTAAAATTTTAAAAAGTACCGGTTTACAAAGTCTGCAGACAGAAGACAGAAATAATTTGCAAACAACACTGTTATGTACTGAATTATGCTCTCTAAATTTGTATGTTGAATCCCTAACCCTCATTGTGATGGTATTATTTTCTCATTAATTCCTCTGATAGAACATCCTTTCAGGAACAAGCCCAACTGAAATGATAGCACCTCTCAAATCTCATTGAGTGGAAATTCCTTAATTATACTTAATAATTTACTCACATCTTTTACCTCAATCACTTCCAAATAATATTTGAATGAGGTTGGTTAATTCCTATTCCCAAAACAGTGGATATGTTTTCAGGTGAGTAGATCCTACTGAAAATAGATCCTCCCTCATTCTGTCAAAGATTGTGCTGGGGTCATGAAAAGAAGGCAGAAAATGATTTGGAGAATTACAGGGTAAGGAAGAAATGGTTAGACTCAAGAGCCATTTGTAGACATTATGGAAAAAAGTGAGCCAGTTCTTTCCTAGCCTTCCCATTCTTTGCAGAAAATATCAATGATCTTATAACACACACACACACACACACACACACAATCTTTTAACAGAAAAGGAAAAGGCATCACCATAGGAAGTTTATTTTCTAAAGAATCTCCTATTATTTTTAGGGTTTCTTCCTATGTAGGGGAAGATTGCAAAACAGGGAAGCATTATTAATCCCTTCCTAATTTAAGCAGTCCATAACAATAATGCAGTAGGGTTTCTATCCTAATCTTCTTTGTGGTGGCAAACAAGGTATAACAGTTTTAAAGCCACTGTACTCTGTGAAGTAAAGTATACCCAAAATTAGGTCCTGTTTTATGACAGCGAGGGATTTGTGCATTTTTTAAAGCATGAAGTAACCAAGGAAGAGATTCCCAGACTGCTTTCTGTACCGCTGAAACCCTACCAGGCAACACTAGGTAAAAATAAATCTTCTCAGCCCAAATAAAGAGCTTCGGATGTCCACGATGCCTTTTACGCTACACAGGGGAAGAGCGGACTGAGTCAGAAGGTCCACCAGTAGAATTTCTTTAATTTTTCCATACAGCTATTAAGCACCCAGTACCACAATTTTCTCTATTTAGATAGCATTTATGTTTGAATAACATCATACAATTCAACTCCCTAGAAAATATTCTAAGATTAAGTAATTTAGGGAGGTGTATATGGAACCCATAAAGAAAGTAAATTATAAATGAACCTTACCTTTCATTCTTATTTTCAGACATATGAGAATTTACTTCAGTTAAATTTTCTGGGTCCTGATATCTAACAACAACAAACAGTATTTGAGTGAGTTTGGTTAACTGTTATCCCAGTACCACAGTGCTCCCAAAATAGTGGATGTGCTTCCAGGACAAATGGATCCTACTGAAAACACATCCTCCCTCATTCTAGCAAAGACTTTGCTGGGATCATGACAAGAAGGCGAAGATGATTTGGAGAATTACAGAAAATTACATATATATATATATATATACACACACATATATATTACATTTTATATATAGCTAAATCATGCATATATGATTTTAGAAATTAAACAAATATTAGAATAAAAATTTAACAATCCTAGGCCCAGTCATTTGTGGTCTATGATGGTATGGAAGAATCAAAATTCAAAATGTGGAGAATAAATGGGAAGATTGAATTCTTAAATCTTGAGCTGAATTAATATTTGACATCCTTTCATGAACCCGAAGTTCCTCTACTGTCTTATTTATATATTCAGCCTAACACTGTGCCAAACTCTTTATCAAGGCCCACTAGAACAACGCTCTAAAGAGAGCCCATAACTACTGAATCCCATCATGACCTCTGCTGAAGTCTGCTTAGATTCACTCTCTGGAGAAAATTGCTGACTGTGGGCCCCTAGACTGACCCCCCGGCAAGAACTGGCTGAGTCAGTCTTTGCTCCTTCTCCCATATTGACCATTAGGGGTACTTCTCCTGATAGCAGAGGTAAAAACGTAGTTTATTAGTGAGCTTATGAATAAGACAGCTAGCTAGGGAAAGAGCTTGAGATAGAGTTGTGTGATCAGCCATGCTGATGTGAATTAAAATAAGAACAGGCAGTGAACTACGATTTTGGACCAGAAATAAACTTGCTCAGGCAATGTGAAATGAAGCCCTCCCTACTAATGGGAATTGTAGTCCCTCCCTGCTAAACTGCTGAGTGCCCAGGAACTTAAAATGCAAAATAACTCATTTTTCTCTAAAATCCCAGTTTCTTTCAAACCCTACCTGGTGAGTAACTGGGTTAGAGAGCTTGAGTTCTAACTGGAACTCATTTTAAGTATACAAAGCTACCCATTAGGTGGCCTCTAAGAAATTGAGCACTGCCTGTGCTCCATTCATCCATAAAACGTTCTGGACCAGGGACCATGTGGAGATTCTACTCTTCAGATTCTCCTCCTGAGAAACCAGGAGCCTTTGTCCCTTCTTGTTTTTTCCAACAAAATATCTCCTAAATTAAAAAAAAAAAACCTGAAAGTTCTTGGGTTTTTTTTAGTTGTTGGTATTTTCAAGAGTTTGGAAAAGCATCCATCACAATCCTTATTGTTTAGGAGTCAAAAATAATAGGGCTCATCTCTTCCCTTATTTTCTTTGGCAAATTTTTTGTTTTGTTTTGTTTTTCTTCCAATACCAAGAATCAAACTCACGACCTTGCACTTGCCAGGCAGGCACTTTGCCACTGAGCTAAATCCCCAGCCCCTCTTTGGCAAATTTGTAAATGAGGTAACTAACATCCAACCTCAAAGTTGTGGTGGGAAAAGTAAAACTCATGGCACAAGGACTACAGTTGTGGGTGAAGTGAATCATCATAATAAAAAAATAGTTAACAGAAGTGCAATAGTTAACAGAATGAATAATTAACAGAATGACGCAGCAGTGGGCACTTCTGGTTCCTCCGTTTTGGGGGGCGACTTTCATTTTTATTACTGCCCCAAATTTTGAGACCATTGGAATTAATTTCAGTTCTTAAAAACATCTCCTCTCATGGTCCTGAGTATTTCACTTAAATAAGTTTATTACACACTGATTCAGGGTATGGACTTCCACTCACAAAACTGATACTGATAAAGGTGTAAAATATTATAAAATAGTCTCAATTTATGTGCAATGAGATTTAATACGTTTTACATAGCAGCATCCAGGCTATCAATAGTTGATAAAATATGCAAATTAGGCCACATCTCATAGCTACAATTAAGCCTTACATTTAAATACAAGTTTCATGCTTTTAAAATGAGAAATCGGGGTAAATTTCTTTTTAATATGATTACAGTAGAAATATGTTAGTTGATATATATAAAAAGTATGATACTTCAGAAGTAGCTCAGAAGTATCAAAACCATTTGATTTTGCAGTTGAATGATATAAAATTAAAAACCAAATTCTTCAACATAAGTGCTGAAACTATGTAAGGTAATCTCACAGATCATATCCTGTAAATTTAAAAGTGGAGGCAGGAGTTTTTGGATTTGCTTCACCCAAACCCTAAAACTTAAAATAAAGGTCTTCACTAATAACTGGAGCCACCAACTAGCACCAGGAGCTAGCTAGTGGGTACCTGAATGAACTTGGCCATTGATTATAGTCCCCTTAATGTTTTAAACAATACTTCCCTAAATACTTAGGGAAAATAGAATAAAATTCAATGGAGTATCTTCACATTCTATAATCCAGGATCCTAGTCGCATCAAACTTGGATGACTGACAGTGACAAATGATAAAAAATCCCAAAATTACTTGAATTTGGGAGGTCAGAATTTTGTCCCAAAAGTTATTCTCTCTATTAATAACATTGGAGGAACAGGCTGCTAATTTCAAAGAGGCTGGTGGTTTTCCTTACAACGAAGAGGAGGCTCTAACGTGCTCTTACACAGAATAGCTGTTTCATAAAGATTATGTGAAGAGACAAGGTGAAGACAAGCCAGAGAGTAGCCTAAAACAGGTTCTTCCCTTACGGCCTAAGAAGGACCCAAACCTCCTGACTGCTTGCTCTAGGACTGCGGTCCTTAGGAACTGTTAGACAATGAATTTCAGGGCTTAAGCTGCCCACCCTATGATAATTTGTTAGGGCAACTCCAACAAACAAATATAAATCTGCCTTTAGGCTCACAATGTTTCTCTGGCTGATGGTGGACATCTTTAACTCCTGGGGCTTTTCTACACATGACTACCGTGGACACTGCATCTGTGTTCTTCCTAGACCTCTCATTTAGGCTCTTTTTGGACCAAAGCTATTCTGAGGGGAAAAAGACAGGCTTTGTGCTTTATGAGGGAGAGGAGCCAGAATCTTACAAATCTAGCAACAATAGCAGTTAACTAAAAAATACTCTCTGCATGCCTTCAAAGAAGTATACTCCCAAAGTGGTATGAATTATAGAACGAGTGATTTTATTAGTGGCTTCATAGCATCTTTATTATTTTATTAAGTAGTAACAAATATCAAGATTGGTTGAGTGAACCATAAGATTTCAATCTGAATAAGCTACACTAATATTTAAAGCAAACTACAAAGTTCCAGGCTATAAAGATCACAAAATGTGCACTTGTTTCAGTTAGTTACACTGATTAGTATCATCAACTAGATTGCAAGATCCAATAAAAGAAGTTCAGACTGCTCATAAATTTAAAGGGTGTTAAGGGGTGTAAAAATAACTTTTTGTTCTTTAATTAAGACCACATCTATTGCATGGTGTCTTTACACTGTGGCAAAAGATGAAGAGTTGTGAGTCAAAGCGTGAAAAATAGATTTTTATGGAAGTCTAAGCCAAATGCTGTAAGGTTGAGCAAATGCTTTATTCCAACCCCCTTCCATGGAAGTTGTAGTAAGGAGAGAACCCTACAGTTTTGTACATTTATGGGCATTTGGAATTAACACCAAGAAAATCATTAATTCTCTATAGATACAAGGAATTGCTAAAAAAAGCACGTTGTTTATTATTGCAACTATTGCTACTTTTGAAGTGTAGATTTCAAAACACTTCAGGGAAATATGAATTATGTATGGGGTAAAGCTACAGGACAATTTTTAGCATAAGAATTTATTCATGTTATAATAGTGCAATTTATTTTCCATGCCACATTAAGGTGTGTAACTTCCTTACAGAGCAGATTTGGGGGAAAATGGAGCTGGGGGCACCAAGAAATTGTGGCTTTTAATGTAAAACTTTTGTTAGGATAAACTCTGATGAGAGAAAGTTAGTACCTCACTCCTAATTGCTCCTTCTCTCTCATGTGAGTGTAGGAGGTATGTATTAATAGCTGGCAATATGTTTCACTCTATTCAACTAACTTAATTTGCTTTGGTAAAGTATCAAATGCACTTACAAAATTAACAGGATCTGTATAAAAAATTATTATTGCATTTCTTTTCTGCCAGTAACTAAACCTTAGGCATTAGACTTTAGTTTAAAAAGAATATTTGCCTCCCTAAAAGGAATACAGACTAAGTGAAATAAGGGATACAATTTCTCAATTTACTGACATAGCAAAATGGGCCCAATTTTATACATTTTTACATATTTTCATAATTTTCAATGCAGATATCTTAAAGGTTTTATATTAAAGAAATTAATAGATCCGTAGAGAAGTTGGACAATGAAAACATATTAAATATAAGATGAAACAGATAATTTCAGTGGCTCTAATTTACCATGGTTCATTGAACTGTCATGAGCAAGATAGTCAATGGCTCAAGCAGGGAGACCAGTCTTAAGAAAAGAGACTCTTCCCATCTGTTTTCAATGATGCATGCTCAGAATATTAGAGCCAGAGGGTAATAGTTTGATCTAGGTGAACTGTCATAAGCCACTGGTGAAATTAAGATTTAGCCCTTAATTCACAGGTATTTGTTAAACACCTAACATGTAACAAGCATTCAGACACTGTATTATGCACTGTAGGTAAAGAAATCAACAAGACAAATAAAATCCTTACAACTAAAGATATCATAGTCAGAAAGAGATGTTTAAATAATAATCTTTTGAAGAGACAAATGTTGTAGGACAGGAAGGGAAGAGAGCCTGAATACATCTAGAAGAAGCACCTGATGCAGACATGGTAGGCCAGGAAGGCTTCTCAGAGCTGAATGAGAGACAGCTATATTGATACCTGAAGGATAGGCAGAACTTGTCCATGCAAGAGCAATGAGTGAGGAGAGAATAATATGCAAGTCAGAGGGGATGTGGACGGGGTTTGCATGTAGGTGGAGGGTAAAAGGAGATGCAGATGGGAAAGCCCATAAAAGCCAGGTCTTGGTGCCTTTTGGAGACCAGGCTAAGGAGTATGACCAGGACCCAGTAGCAATGAGAAGCCAATGACAGGTTTCAATCAGAAGAATGACACAATCAGATTTGTGTGTTAGGAAGATCACTGTACAGCATAGTAAATAGACTGAAGGAGAGAAGGCAAAGTTGGCAGCATAAGAACCACTTAGGAGGCTAAATAGTCAACTAGACTGAAGTGGTGCTGAGGATGATAAAGGGTCTCGGACTTCTTCGTGAGGTTATTTGGACAAGCATCCAAAGTGGTTGAACGATTATGGGGAGTGATACAATGGAGTCAAGGTTATCCCCAAGTTTATGTCTTGAACCAATATATGAGAAATATGCAGTAGGAAGACACAAAGAAGTTTCTCTCTTGTTAGAATACTAAAATGTTGGGAGCATGTGTTAACAAATAAGAAGCCCTTAAAAAGATGGAAGTATAATACCACAAAGAGGACCTTTTCTTCTTTAGGTGAATGATGCCTTTTCTTTAGTGTCACTGGGTACATTTTTCAATATCCATTTGGAAGTGAAATTTTAATAATTAGTCTAAACACATTTTATAATCTACAGACAACTGGTTATCTTTCTTTAATATTTGTTCATGTTACTGCTAAAAGTCATGCGATGTCTCCCTGAATAAATGAAAATTCTGTGCACATCTGTATTTGTTTCAGTTTTTGTATTCCTAGAAAGAGTCCAGGGAGGCCTGCTTACATTCTGATGGGTGACTCAAGTATATTGAGCCCCTACCTCTGAGTTAAATAGACAGCTGCTGGAAATGTCAGCAAAGTCACATAAAAGAACTCTGATTCACTGCTGTTATGCTATTAAATAATAAGCACTTGTGCCTCACTGAATTGATGTAAAAGTGCCTTGTGGCTGTCCTTCCTACTGAGAGGTGCTTCAAAATATCCTTTTTCCCTACCTGCATTAAAATCAAGAGGCCAACACATACACACTATGATGGCTGAATCAGTCAAACGAAGCATTCTTTTCAAACAGTTCGCTTGTTTTTCTTTTTTTCTGCTCTCTGACAATTCTTGAACATCCTGGCTGGTTCTCATCAAATCTGATATGCTACTAAAGAATAACTGCACATAGGTTAGATTTGCAACCCAAGTTGCCATCTTAAAATAATCTGATGGGCAATATTTTAAAATTTCCTTTCTTTAGCAATCATACTGATATAAGGAAAGTGTCTTCATTCTATAGATACTTGATTAGGAGTTACTGAATTACCTTTTTTTTTTTTAAGAAAAAAAGTAGCCTTTTGCAATTAAACAAAAGGCAAAGCTCTTATGGAAAAGATGCCACTATCAACATAGCACATTTGCCACAGAGAAGGAAGATACTGGAGTAGAAGGAGAAAAAGAGAAATACATTTTCCACTGTTAGTTAAATACCATGATATGGTACTAAATTTAACATTTTCCAGCATGATTGGGAACCTCCTAAAGCTGCTGCTGATATAAAGAAAAATCCACTCTAACAAATACCAGTATGGAGAAATGGCTCTACTCAATAGTTATCCATACAATTATCAGCAGTAGGATCTACATTAAAAAGCCTGCTGGTATTTGCCATCAAAAAAACATCATATCACAGTGATATATGTGCACCTATGTTCATAGCAGCACAATTTGTAATTGCTAAAATGTGGAAGCAACTCAAATGTCCATCCACCAAGGATTGGATAAGAAAATTATGGTACTTTTATATAATGGAATATTACTCAGCTGTAAAGAAAGATAAACTCGAGGCCTTTATATTTAAATGGTCACAACTAGAAACCATACTCATAAGTGAAATAAATCAAACATACATGTGCAAGCACCGCATTGTGTCACTAGTGTAAAACTTGAAAGAGTTAATTTAAACTCGGAGGTATGATAGACACTGTGAAATGATAGGAAACCAATGAAGAGTAAAGGGCTTCTGGGATGTGGGAAAAGAGAAGGGAAAGAAGGAGAAATTTTGTATGTATGTATATACAGGATAGTTAACATGGTTGTTCTTCTGTCTTCTATTTCTATGCTGAAAGAAACTGTCAATGAGTCTTTGGTTGACCAGTATTGCATGTTTATATCTGTTTTCACGAGAAGCCACTTTGAAGATATCAATATGTAATACAACCACCATTGTTAATTCCCTACCACTTTGTTTGTAACTCTGTGTTGTCTGTACTGTGCTTGTGATATGTTGTAAAATGTTGTATGTCTGTTAATGTTTCCCTCCTTTTATCTTTAAAATAAAAAAAAAATCTCAGTGAAAGTCTAGCGAGCAGCGCAATAGTCAAAGTCTTGCTTAGTATGTTCAAGACTCTACATTTGACCCCCAGCACAACCAAGAAAAAATGTCTTCTCCCTGTCATTCTAACAATAATCCTCTAGAATAATTGTACCTGATTATAGTTCCTTAGGTGTGAGGAAAAGCAAAGAAAGGGCATATAGGGGTGGAAAAAAGTGTGAGATCACTTAATCACAGATTTTCGGTATTTTTCCTCTAGGCAGTGACATCAGAAGTATTAACATTAAATATATGATGTTTTCTTTCTTGAGACGGCTAGTTTGTATATTTGAGCTATAGTTTGTGGTTTTTTCCTGAAATAAGGGGCACGAATACACTTCTCAAGGGGTTGTTCTAGGATTAAATGTATACAATCTTCCCTAGTGCTCCATAATTACTCTCTGAGAATCAATTGCTGTTGAACTGCTCTTGTGCCTTCTACTTTAGAGACTCCAATGTCCAAATGGTAACAACTTACAAACAGGGAAAAATAAGGCACCGTTGCAGAAAACAAGCTAAGACTTAGCTTAGTGTGTTACACTGTTCTCTTTCCCCTAGAGGGTTCAAAGTACTTTTTCATAAGTAATTTGTTCTGTTCATCTCAATGTTGAACTGTGACTCCCAGCTATTACTTATCAATTTAATAATTTCAAGTTGGCAGAGCAATTTGGACTTAAAACATAGCGCACACTGGTGCATTATCTATTAATAAAGGACTCTGAGTAAAAGACATCATGTAAAAATAGCAATTAAAAGACAGTTCAGAACTCAAAGGAGAAGTTCAAGGTTAAAATTTGCTGTTCAATTTTGTAAGCCTGGATGAACTGTGGATCTGGGATTTTGAAGACTGTGAACATCAACTTCTTAAAACTGTGATTTTATTTTATTTAATTTTGTTCACATGTCATTTCAGATTCGAAACTTGTCTTCCTGTAGGCAATAAACATTAAGTTGTAGTAGAAAAAATAAGCCCAGAAGTGATTTCAAAATAATGTGATCAATTCCAGAAGAACACCATATGTTTTCTTGTTAAGAGGAGACACATAGTTCATAAGTGTATCCCTATTCAAGAACAGAAAGACAAAACACAGTCCTTCTTCAACAACGAAAGAAGATAAATTCCTGCCCTAGAATGTTGGGTATATGTCAACTTGGTCAGGCACAGTCACTTACCGATTAACATTTCTGAGAGCTGAAGGTTTCACCTGAACAAGATTGTCCAAGTCTAGGCTGTTAAAAAAAGAGAGCAGAAAAAGCTCAGGGTAGCTCAATAAATCCATTTCATCTGGGGGCAGTAGATAGAAAAAATACAAATTGACTGATTTTATTTGATTACCTCTGATTGCTTCTGGTTACTGAGGGATTCACTTTGATGAGGTTATCCAGATCTCGGTTTCTTAGAAAAACAGAAAGAGAGTAGAGTCAGGATGAAGTTCTTTTGGTAAGATCATTCAGGTTATACATCTACTTGAAATAATAATAAAACAAAACATTCTTTATAACCAAAGAATATTAAAATCAGCATAGTTCTTTTACCTTTGATTGTTGGTGATAATTTTCACATTCACTGTGGTTTGCTTATCAAAATCTTCGTTACTTTAAGGGGGAAAAAGGTTAAAGATTCTTGGATTAGATATAATGGGGTTTAAGTTCATTTTAAATATAGGAAAGGATTACAGTATGAGATATATTGCTTTGATATAGAACAGCCATGAAATATGTTTTCTAACCAATCCAGTGGAGAAAGAAGTATGCTGTAAGAGAAAAAAATTGACCCTGACTTCACACATTTTATTGTCAAAGCAAATCTATAAGGGCAAAAAGTTAAGTGTTCCAGTCCACATCTAGTAGTAGACAATTTTTTCATGCTGGAATATTTTAAATTATAAAGATTGCAAACTGATTCTAATGCTCTTGCCATTTTGAAAATCATGTTCACCAATTATTTGGCCCTTATGGATTTGCTTTGACAATAAAATGTGTGAGGTCAGGGTCAATTTTTTTCTCTTACAGTGTACTTCTTTCTCCACTGGATTGGTTAGAAAACATATTTCATGCCATGGCAAGAGGCAGCAGAGTTGATAATCCCTGCGTTCGGTATCATCGGCAACAGCAGCTTGCCTGTACTCCCTCCTCAAGCAGTCCTTTTTCCTCATGTAAAAATAAAAAGCATCTCATATTGATGCAAACTTACAAACTGAGGGGGAGCCACTTAAAGATGAGTCATCAAAAGACCTACGAAAGGTCCACATTCCTCTCCTTGAATCTGCAACCTTAATCGGGAATGTGTTTCCCAGCTTTTGGTTCTCCTTTCCTATCCTCCGGCCTCCAAGGTGCACACAAGACCCTAACTGCAGTCCCACTGTTTTGGATTATCCTCTGTAATAATATTCTTAATCAAACATAATCTATTTGTGTCTATAAAAACTAGTAAAAAAATGATTGGCAAATGAGAAGTATCCAAAAGAATTTCCTTAAATAAACTGACTACAAGTTTTGTTATAAAACAGGTGCTATGATGATTAAGTGAAAAAACAGAGATTAAAGAAAATCTCTGTCAAAACTAAACCATACCAAAAGGACAACAGTGCTTAAAATGACTTTAATTTAATATATTACAAGAAAAAAAGAACAATAAGAAATACATCTTTGTAGAGATTACAATATTTCCAAAAGCCACAACTTTTTAATACAAAATTAATTGCAGTCTATTTTATTATAACTACTTACAATACTTATGTGCCAGTATAATTAAGAATAAGCAGCGTAAAAAATACAAAAACAAACATGGAAACATCCATTTGGACTTGTTCTGCTGAACATAAAATATTTGATGCATCCAACAATCTAGTACAGTGGCATTCACATTGCTGTTTAAAAGGCCAATAAGAAATATATTTTGTATGCCCAATGCTCCCTTTTACAGACAGACAGATACATACACACACATACACACACACTCACACACACCACATGATAAAAATCCCTTACCAAATAAAAGGAGCTCTCTTATTTTCTATTCGATATACTTTATTGGGTAGGGGGAAGTGCTGGTTGTTACTCACTAAATTAATTACAGAACTATATAATGGATGATGACTCACAGTTTGAGAAACATTTGCTTAGAAAACATAAATATATGTTATGCCCTACCACTACTTCTACAAAGGCAATATCTTGTATGTATAAAACAGGTTTGAGTAATAATGCTGAATTTCTTTGATTAATAACATGTACTATTTATCTCAATGAATTGAAAACAAATATATATTGATATCCTTTCAGTATATGAATCCTGAAAACAAAAGAATCTAATATCTAGATTCTACCATCTTTCCTACTCAAGATCTCGCTTTAATTAATTTTGCTTTAAGGCTGTAGGAAAAGATGCACTCAGATATTCAGGTGGAGTTATTTCCAGGTAGTTCAAGGCCGTACAGTGTTTTGCAGTCATTTCCACACTTGTACCATTGACAGTCGTGAAAGAAGGACCTCAGATAACCCTGTGACAGCAGTAAAGGACACGACCTGGCTGTCCCACGACAAAAGCATCAGTCCTACCTCGTCCTCCACTATTTCCTAAGGTGTTTAATCAATTTTCGTTTATATGAAGATCAAAGTCTGTGTGTGTAGTATAATGACCAGAATCAGGCTAAGAGTCAGAGAACCCTTCAGAAGACTGAAGAGGTAAAATAATGCCATCTGGCCTCATTATTCTCATCTGTAAATGAGGAACTCGGACTCGATCATCTCCATGGCTTTTTCCCTCTCCAACATCTACTCCAGGACTCTATGAATTTTACTGCATACCATGTTTATTATATCTGATTTTAAGGTCCTTTGTTCTTTTTAAGTGCAGTGCACTGACAATACATTCTGTATTCAGCAAGCAGTACATGTGTGCTCCAAAATGTAATATATTAAATTGACAACCTATTATTGTCTTGGAGTAACATCTCTGTGCCCCTGGTACATAATTAGCTTTAATCTATGTTAATTGCCTGCTGTTAATAAGATTGAGTATGACTACTGAATTCTCTTTTTGGCATCAACAGCCTATAATTATACCCAATGTGCAACTAATGATACCTAGTTGTAAGCTGTGAACCTGCTAGGTGCCAATAATTATTCACTGCCTAACAGATCACAGAGCTACTATGAGTCTTCCTTTAATTTTCTCTGTGACTCTGGTCAAACCACTTAACCTATCTGAGTTCTCATTTCCTCTTGTATAGAATGATTAGGTTCATTTGGAACAGTCGTTTTCAAAATTGCTCAAACTAACCAGAGATAAAAAGCAAATTTTATTACCCTTGGAGAACTACTTTAAAATTATGAAATTTTAGGTCCATATTCTTCGTGGGAGCAGTAAACCCTCTGAAGAACAATGAACTTCTCCGGGCATGGTGATGCATACCTGTAATCCCAGCACTCCAGAGGCTGAGGCAGTAAGATTGCTATCCAGGCCAACTCACTAGGCTACATAGTGAGTTCAAGGCCAGCCTAAGCTACACATTGAGATCCTGTCTCAAAAAAGCTAAATAAATAAATAAATAAATAAATAAATAAATAAATAAGAAAAGAGAAATAATGAACTTCATAAAACTTTCACTCTTAGAACACTCTTCCAAAAGGATGTGAATGGTATTATTAATGATGAGCTTAATGAAGTGTGTAGGTACAATTTTAAAATTAACTATCATTAATACATTTTAATTCCAGAGTCAAAAGTATGAATATCAATGCCACAAAAGCAAAACAAAACATAGACGACTCATGGACTAGCTCTGTTACCGCCACTCCTCTTTGTTCAACTTCTCTTTTCAGCCACTCTATTTGAGAGAATAAAAGTCATCATCATACATTCTTTGCAGCTGCCTCTCTTTCTTGCTAATAAGAGTACTATAGTTATATCTAGGTTTCCAGGGACATATAAAAATTATGCTGATATTCCAAGACCTATATTCAATTTGCCCATAGAATGAATCATTTATATTCATACTGTAATTAGTTATGGAGGAAAAACAATCAAACAAATACCATCTTTCTCTTACCCAGCAGTATTTTTGACAGCTTTGGTGTTTACATTAATAAATTCATCAAGACTTTGTTCACTGCTAAAAGAAAAAAAAAAAAAAGAAAAGGTCAAAGCCAATAGGAAATCAGCAAATATCTTGACTTGCTTTTTTATAGCTGTAAATTACTCAAAGGGATCTAGAATGAAAAATAGTAAGTTTCCTGAGTTGCTACTTTATGTACAATAACTGCCATTTTTTAGCCTCAAAACAACTTACTGAGGTAGATAATTAGCATCCCCTATAAAGAAACTGGGCTTCAGCACTAGGTGTGGTGGCAACACCTATAACCCCAGCACTCAGGAGGCTGAGGCAGGAGGATCACCATAAGTTTGAGGCCAGCTTGAGCAATATAATGAGTTCAAGGCCAGCCTGAACTACAAAGAAGACCCTGTCCCCCAGAAAGAAAGTAAGAAAGAAAGAAAGAAAGAAAGAAAGAAAGAAAGAAA